AAAGTCCCTGTGTGTCAACCTCTGTGCTTCGTGGCAAGGTAGACTAGCAAACATGCCCAACCTTTACTCACATTCGAGAAAACACTCCCAATAAGATTGCTTGCTCCAAAATCGAAGAGGCACCGTCCTCCGAATCTCGAGAGCCAGACTCCCAACATGACTACTTTCTTAAAAATCGAAGAGAGGGTAAAGGAACAGTACCATTGCTGGATAATTGGAAAGTCCCTGTGTGTCAACCTCTGTGCTTCGTGGCAAGGTAGACTAGCAAACATGCCCAACCTTTACTCACATTCGAGAAAACACTCCCAACAAGATTGCTTGCTCCAAAATCGAAGAGGCACCGCCCTCCGAATCTCGAGAGCCAGACTCCCAACATGATTACTTTCTCAAAAATCGAAGAGACACTGCTCCCCGAATCTTCGAGAGCCAGACCCCCAGCATGATTGCTTTCTCAAAAATCGATGAGGCATCGTTCTCCGAATCAATCGAAGAGGCGCTCGCTTTCTCAAAAGCTGGGCTGCTCAGAGACCACGAGGGCCGATCTCAGAAATCGAAGAGGCACCTACTTTTCTAGCCTTGTCAGCACCTGTCACACGCACACTCAGCTTTGCAGAAATTATGGGCATTCTGTCGAAGACTTCTGGTGAAGTAGAAAGCACATGAATCTTACTGTTCAATCACCCACTTCCCACACGCAACAATAGCTCATGGGTACCACAGATAACTTTGCCAAAGTTCTCTGCCAAAGTTGAGCACGTGAAGCTTGCAGCTCCCACTACATCGCTCTGACCAAGAAAGGTAAAAGAATAGCAAAGAAACAGCACTAACAAAGTTTAGACACATAAATTTTGAAGGTCTAGCTACCATATTATTACCCACAAGGGTAAAGGAACAGTACCACTGCTGGATAATTGGAAAAGTCCCTGTGTGTCAACCTCTGTGCTTCGTGGCAAGGTAGACTAGCAAACATGCCCAACCTTTACTCACATTCGAGAAAACACTCCCAACAAGATTGCTTGCTCCAAAATCGAAGAGGCACCGTCCTCCGAATCTCGAGAGCCAGACTCCCAACATGACTACTTTCTCAAAATCGAAGAGAGGGTAAAGGAACAGTACCATTGCTGGATAATTGGAAAGTCCCTGTGTGTCAACCTTTGTGCTTCGTGGCAAGGTAGACTAGCAAACATGCCCAACCTTTACTCACATTCGAGACAACACTCCCAACAAGATTGCTTGCTCCAAAATCGAAGAGGCACCGCCCTCCGAATCTCGAGAGCCAGACTCCCAACATGATTACTTCCTCAAAATCGAAGAGACACTGCTCTCCGAATCTCGAGAGCCAGACCCCCAGCATGATTGCTTTCTCAAAAATCGAAGAGGCATCGTTCTCCGAATCTCGAGAGCCAGATACCACAGACCACTTTTTTCAAAGTGCTCTGACAGAGTTAAAACATGTGAAACTGGCAGCTCCCACTACCGTGCTATGACCAAGCAGGGTAAAGGAATAGCATTACTACTTGTTAGGGAGACTCCTATATATGTCGACCTCCATCCCCAACGGACAGGCAGACCTGCAAAAATGCTCAACCCTTCATCATATCTGAGAGGGCACTCCCAACGAAGCCTTTCGAAATATTCAGCTTTCTTTCCCCCCGATAATACCTCTGCAAACAAGCTATACTAGAGCAAGAATATCTCATATCATCAGGGTTAAAAGCAAGAGTATCCCATATCATGCTTTTTCCCTGTCTTTTCCTTTGGCCTTGTTTTTACCTGCAAGACAAGGAGAAAGAGAGCAATCAGTCAGCACTTGGAATCAAGCTTCCAGCCAGGAACTGACTGCCTGGAACCCCTTACCTGATTACTTACCTGGCATTGCTCTCGAGTACTCATCTTCAACATCTTATGTTTCCAGGGAAGATTCCGCATCTGCTTGAGGAACAGATAGGGCAAGTGCGAAGGATACAAGGAAGCATGTGGAGACAAGCGTAACAGCACACGTGCCGATACATCCATTACTCTGTCAAAAGCAAAAGTATCCCATATCAGCAAGGGTGGAACGTACTCTAGATTTGATGGACTTGTTTTGACCCTCAAATTCTTCAGTCGGCCTTATACTCTGGAGGAAACCAGAAAACCCTCCAGCTCAGTTCAAGAATAAGCCTGTGGGAAAGTTACTTCTTCAAAAGCAAAAGTATCTCATATATCATCTCTTCTCATTTTTCTTCTCTTTATCCTTCATGCTGCTTGCAAGATGGGGAGAAGGTGAACAATCAGTCGGAGCTCTGATTGCTTACCTTGTCTGTCACCTTTTTCAGCAAAACCCCCTAGCTCGGCGACTTGGGGGACTCCTACTACATGGTTTGTATCGCGCTTGACCAAGCCTGAAACTACAAGTAAGCTTCAAGTGAAATTGATACATTACCTTGTGCATCTCCACCAGTTAAAGATACCACCCCTGGATGGAGGAAGAGTACTTCCAGAGAAGATGCCACATCTACCTATGAGACAGATAAGGCAAGTCAAGACGACTCCACACTCCGATACTTAGAAGTTTCGTGATTACGAGATCATTCTCCCACAATATTTCCTAATGTCATTTGTACTAAATCATTCACTTGTACTCACTAAAGGAGAGCTTGAACCTATGTACTTGTGTAAACCCTTCACAATTAATGAGAACTCTTCTATTCCGTGGACGTAGCCAATATGGGTGAACCACGTACATCTTGTGTTTGCTTTCCTATCTCTATCCATTTATATACTTATCCACACTAATGACCGGAGCAATCTAGCGAAGATCACAAAAAGCGACCGTTTTCGCTACCTAGAATCTATCTTGCAAGAGAACGGAGAATTAGATGGAGATCTCAACCATAGAATACGAGCTGGATGGATGAAGTGTAAGAATGCATCCGGCATGTTGTGTGACCGTCGTAGGCCACTGAAGCTCAAGGGAAAATTTTATAGGACGGCAATAAGGCCAGCGATGTTGTATGGCACAGAATGTTGGGCGGTGAAGCATCAACACGTACACAAAATGGGTGTGTAGCGGAGATGAGGATGCTTCGTGGGATGTGTGGGCACACGAGAAAGGATAAGATTGGGAATGAGGATATCCGAGGTAAAGTAGGAGTAGCCGAAATTGTAGGAAAGATGAGAGAAAATCGGCTCCGGTGATTTGGACATGTGCAAAGAAGGCCGAATGACGCTCCGGTTCGAAGATGTGACTACGGGACAGAGGTTCAGGGCCGAAGGGGTAGAGGAAGACCTAGGAAAACTTTGGAAGAGACTCTAAGAAAAGACTTAGAGTACTTGGATCTAACGGAGGACATGACACAAAACCGAGCGTAATGGCGTTCTAGGATTCATATAGCCGACCCCACTTAGTGGGAAAAGGCTTTGTTGTTGTTGTTGTTGTTGTTGTAATAAATTTCATCATTTTAAAGTTCATCGTTTCAAAAGTTCATACTACTACTAAATCCAACTCTCATGGCTATTTCGTCCGAAGAAGAAAAAGGTAATCTGTGTATATGTGTGGTTATAGTTTAGCTCTATGTCCAGACTGAGGAACTGGGTTGGATCCATGTCCCAACGTTCAAAAAAAATTTGAAAAAAATTAAGGTGGGGACCAACCCTGTCCAGAAATATGCATGGATCGATGGATGTGTTCTTACAAATACAATACAATACAATACAATATGGTATTTAACCATGCCTGGACCATCAATATTTGTCACGACTTACGCCCCCCACCACCACCACCACAGGATATATATCTTGAGAACAAATGACCGTTTGAAGGAAGCAGCAGAAGAAACTAGAAAGAATGGTATACAGTAAGGAATAAAACAAGAAGTATTAAGTCAACAAGTTGTTTCCTTTTTGCCTCAACATTATTAAGTTAATAATTCGCACGCTTTTGATCTGCAAATGCAGCAACAGTTTAAAGTTGTTATTTAAAGGGAGTTACTGTCGGAACAGGATAATAATAATCATTCTATCATCACTAAAAGTTAGATCATGATCAGGATCAGTGAACTATTAGTCTACAAATGATAAATAAAAAATGTCCGTAACAGAAGTCTCAGAAGAACCAATGAAGGAAACAATTTAATAAGGAAGAAGATAATATAAATGGAATTGAAAACAATTGCAACCCATGTCGCTGAGTTAAATCAGCTTCAGGTTAACTAATTGTAAGTTGATTATCCTCAACCCCCCCCCCCCCCCTCCCCGCCCACATTGAAACAAATAATATGTTGTCTTGTCAAAGCTTTGTTTGAGGAATTAAAATTTGAACCATACATAAATTTAAAAGTTTTTAACTGAATATCGACGAAATGGCGATCAAGATTTTATTGGTAACATTAGCATTAGTGCCAAACAATGTGGTAAGAAAATATTCTCAAGATAAGATAACATTCATCTTGATCCACATTACCGTTTTTCTTTTTCCCAAGTTAGGGTCTACACTAGAAACATTCTTACGCTACATCAATCCTTTTCTTACATTAAGGTCGTCTTTCACCTAAATTATAAACTATAAATTAGTACGTTACGTAAAGAAATGGCGATAACACTGGAGCCAAGTGCAATATACTAATATTCACTTCATAAACTAAAATCACGGAGTTCATGAATTACAGACATAGGGTATAGCTTTTGACAACAACAAAAAAAAGAAAGTGGGTTAGCTAGATTCCTCAAGCTGGATGGAGACTTTAGACACATCGTAGCCACGATTGATCAGGAGGTATCTTTCTCACAGCTGGGTTTGTCCATGAAAATTAAGCCAAAAATATGTTGACCCACATACCTATCCATTCCAAAGGATATTTCTTTAGCATAAGCAACCGATCGAAGCAACTCTAAAATTATGACCGTTGGAAAAAGTACTAAAATTGTATTTTTGCCATTCCGCGTAGATATATAGATATACATATATATATATATAGCAGTTCCATTTCTTCCATACCTCCTAGCTCTCTTACAATCGCATGATCTAATAACTCAGAGAGCACTCTTCCCACCATATTCTCTCTCTCTCTCTCTCTCTCTCTCTCAATATTTTTTACTACAATAATTTTTTATTCAATTCAATGGCTTCGCATTCTCTTGTGTTATCATTCATTTGTTTCTACTTGGTGTGCAACATACTTACTTTGTTAATGTTGTTTCATGCAGTGCCAATTGTGACGGCAGCGAGAAGCTCTCACGTACTAGTCCGCAGCAGTCTGATGACCTCGTCACCAACCCCTGCGACCGATAGCAGCAGTTCCAAGCCCCACCACAAGTGGGTTGGACCCAGCGGCCACCGCCTGATCATGGTCGACGTGAACGGCTCCGGGGACTTCCAGTCTGTCCAGTCCGCCGTCAATGCAGTCCCGGTGAACAACACGGTCAATATTGTCATCCTAATCAAGCCCGGATGTTACATGTAATTATAATTGTTAATAACATTGATATTAAAATTCTTCTTAATCTTAGTAAGTTAATTACATATATATAACTATACGCACAGTTAAGCACGCAGACTATCATAAGAATTAAGAATAACAATATTATAATTAATGCAGAGAGAAAGTGGTAGTGCCGGCGACGAAGCCGTACATCACGTTTCAAGGAGCCGGGAAAGATGCGACGGTGATCGAATGGCATGACCGTGCCAGTGACCCTGGACCCAACGGCCAGCAGCTCAGAACTTACCGAACGGCTTCTGTTACTGTTTTTGCTAACTATTTCTCTGCCAGAAATATTAGCTTCAAGGTACGTAACAACAAAGGTGTATATCTAGCTAGCTACTTCATAGCACAAACACGCCCATATATAATAATATATGACCTCAGATTTTACGGTGTAACAATAGAGAGGCCACATTTTAAAAACCAGATACATTTTAAGTGATTGCATGCATGCATAATTAGTAATATTGATCTTGGTTTATTGGTTGCAGAATACTGCACCAGCACCGATGCCGGGGATGCAAGGATGGCAAGCGGTGGCATTTCGGATATCCGGCGACAAGGCGTACTTCTCAGGCTGTGGCTTCTATGGTGCCCAAGACACACTCTGTGACGACGTAGGACGCCATTACTTCAAGGAGTGTTACATTGAGGGTTCCATAGACTTCATTTTTGGGAATGGTCGGTCCATGTACAAAGTAAGAAGCTATACATATATACCTAGCTAATTAATCCAGTTATTCAATTAGCATAAATTAATTAGTATTTTGAATTATGCATGCCACTTTGTCTAATTGTGCTCCAACCAATAATTTAGATCAATACGATATACGAAAAGCCTGTGACTTTAACCTTTTGGGACGCAGATGCACCTTTTTATTGTCACTCTGTCAAAAGAAAAAGATTTTTGCGTGTCTTCTGCAGCATCTTTTGTGACAGTGATGTCACTTGGGTGCACATAAATCCATGAAAAGTGAGCTTGCTTTTTCTTCAGCATTTTTATCTTCTTTTACTGGCAACAGTTTTATCATTTACCATGCATGTAAAGCCACAGATTAAGGTATCTATTACTTAAAATGTAAGGTTTACACCAATCAACAATTATTAATCACTCAATGACGAATCAACGTTTGATAGTGATACACGTAGATGTATGTAACTACTAACTAGACGTTCAAGAGTAACTATTGCCATTAGTCACTTAGCGTTGGTGTGAATGATTAACATTAAAATGTGTCTGTATTTTACTGTTCAAAGAAATTTGAACGAAATTATAAAAGTGATGTGACGCCGAGAGCCTAAATTATTCTTGAGTTATAACATGTATAACCACGCTTTATGTTTAATATTAAACAATACTAAAAGGTATTGAACAAAATGATTAATCTCAAGAACAAATCCAAGTGAATATACATATGCAGTAAATCTCAAATTACATCTGTTTTTTTTTTCAACGTATACTATCATTGTTTTGACTTATACAGCTTAACTGTTGGCACACAGGACTGTGAGCTGCACTCGATAGCAACCAAGTTCGGGTCCATTGCAGCCCACTACAGGAACTCGCCGGATGATAAGTCAGGGTTCGCTTTCCTGAACTGCCGGGTTACCGGTACGGGTCCGTTGTACGTGGGTCGGGCCATGGGGAAGTACTCCCGGATCGTATACTCCTACACCTACTTTGATGACGTGGTTGCACACGGTGCCTGGGATGACTGGAACAACACAATCACAAGTACTGCTACAAAGTAATTAACTACATATTTCCCTTTATTTTCTATTTAATTGCCATAATTTCTTACATATGTAGGTTTGATTAGTTGGTGCATAAATAAGTTAGATTAGTTGATTAGGTCGATACACTCGTCTCATTATATTGGGAAGAGGATCCTCTCTGGATTTTCTTTGTGAGGATTCTCGTCCTATCCGTTCAATGTACATCATACGGCCAACTTTTGTTAGATAATATTTATATTTAAGTTTAATTAAAATTATTTAAAATTATTTCCAACCGCACGATGTACGATGAACGGATAAGAGATGAGGATCTCTAAAATCCTCATCTGGATGAGATCAAAATCCATTATATTGGAGTTTCGATCTCTCGTTCTAGATCAGAATAATTTAAAATATTGATTAAGAAAACAATATTTTATTTGTCTTTTTGAAAGTAAGAATGTCTGTATGGCCCATTATATTTTGGTTATGTGCTCAATTATGAGTGTTTGGGCTCTTAATCATTGTTGGCATCAAATTTAGTCAACAAGACAAGGCCGTAGAAAGCTCAAAAGAAGTTGAGGTGAAACCATGATTCGGCCACACCCTATGCCAGCTATGGAAAAAGATTGTCGGGTGATACTGAAAAAAAAAAACAAAAGGGAATGCAGAGAATATTACCCGAGAGCATAATTGCGTGAGTGACTGACAACTGTCATGAAACATGCAGTAACAGTCGGAGTCACTTATGTAAATGTGCAAGCTTCGGTTATTGTCTCAGATAACGCTCACAAAAAACCCAAACTATTTTCTTCTTTAACAAGTAAGATAACCATATGCCATGCCGTTCCTAACTATCACATTGTGTTTGAGTTTCCGTGTTTGAATTTCCCGCCCAGCTGACCTAAAGTAATTGTTGGAATGCAGTGGGAGTGTGTATCTGGGAGTGTACAAGTGCTGGGGGCCAGGAGCAGAAGCCCTGCGAGGGGTGCCATGTGCCCCGGAGCTTGAGTACGACTTGGCTCATCCATTCCTCGCAAAGAGCTTCGTCAATGGCAGGCACTGGATCGCACCCGATGATGCCTAAGCTTTTACTTTTGCTTTCTATATCTTCTGCCATTCTTTAATTTATTCATTCATTCATTCAATTCTTGTAATAATATTGTTTGCACTCCACGTCTCCAAGGCTTTTGTATTAAGATTTCTTGGATGTATTTAATTCAATTGTATTTATTCATTTCATCTATCTAAGTCTCTCAGCCCTTTCTTATTTGGAAAATATAATGCTTAATTTATATACTTGTATTTTTTTTTCTATTAGTTTCCAAACAAACTATATCGACGCAAATAAATGCTGCTTTACTATCTAGTTAAAATAAGTTGCATCACACACACTTTGTTTTAATAAAAGTGTGGAACACAAAACAAGTTTTAACTGAATAATGTTTGCCACTCAACTTGTCATGGCGGAATGTAGTGACATTAAATGTGTATAAGTAAATAAGTTACTACACAAGTTACGTGAGTATCATGGAGCAAAAGTGAACACTATAGTTCAACAGATTGTGACATCGAGGGGTGGTATAAGGCCATCTCCATCCAAGGGGGCTAAATAGAGCCCCATTCAGAATTATAGCCTTACAAAAAATTTATCTTTAAGTAACATTGTCAAGTCATGTTCATATACCATCTCCAACCGAATGGACTAAACATAACCCCCTAGATCATTTTTTTCACTTTATATTTTAAACATATTGGTTAATTTAATTAAACTACTCATTGAATGCTTTTAAATCTAGTCGCTGAATTTGAATTAATTATTGCAACTGTATAACTGAAACCCATAAAAGGGGCTAAGAGGAGGATTACATATGGCTCGCCTGATGTCCATTTGGCAAAATAATAGCCTGGTGAATTTCATAAAATTATAGCCCAACCATCGGTTGAAGATGAGTTTGTTGACAAATCAGATCATTTTTTGACCTTTAGACTTGTAACTCTCTGCATTGAAGATGACCTAAAAGGAGTGATTTTTGCGCCCCCCAACACCCCTCCCAAAAAAAAAAAAAAATTATGCACACCCCTCGGCAACTCGAGTCCATGATTTTCCTTATATTTACCAATCAAATGGGTCGAGAAAAGAAAAAGGTGTGCAAGATATGAAAAATGGTTGGGCAAAAATCATTTCCAGACATAAAAAGGCTTTTTCCGTGGGCAAAAATCATTTCCCTTATCAACCATCATAATATACAACATGGGAAAAGCTACATCCAAAGACCAACAAACAAATAGAAGAGTTTCCCTCTCATATTAGCCCCAGATTTTATACAAGCTTTTATGTCCCAACACAGCCTGAACTTGGGCAGCTCAAAAAATTCATAGATTTTGACATAATTCAACTGTAATAGGCAATAACCAATTGCACAAATTCTGAAAAACAAATAACTGCGTGCCCTCAGGGATAACTGCTAGGGGTATACGAAAGGTAGTCGGGGTAAGACATTTGCTCACATTATACAACAATTTTTCTGAGACTCCAGCATCTCTGGAGACCTGCAAAGGAAAGCAACGTTCATCAATCGATAGAACTGCACCATATTTCAAAACAAATTGTGCAAATTGATGGTGCTACCGAAAAAGCATGCTAACTGAGTCAATTTTCAGACGTGCAATTACTGGTAGAAGAGTAGCCAAGCAGAAAGCTATCTGATTTTCCTTCATAACATAACAGTGCATATTAAGTTTTGATATGACAAATAATCGTGCAGAACATCAATTTGCTCCAAACAGAATCTTCTATTCAAAATTTCAATCTCAGTGTCTTTCTCCTGCAGAACAGATTCAAGGTCTCACAGCTTTATAGAAGAGAGAATCTTCTCCCATTGATTTAGCAGTACATAAACATCCGATAATTAGTCTAGAATTCTGAATCTGAATAACTCTGGAGACCAAGTGATTCGCTAGTTCTAATACTTAACACTAAATGTACTTGTCCTTCCAAATAAATAAAATCTAACAACAGTATTCCATACGAAATACAAAAAATGAAAATGTGGTCATCAGATAATTTAAGATGTACAAGCAATTTAAAGTTTGCATAAGAACCGATGATTCAGATCTTCATGATTAACACGGTAGAGAAGACTTACAGTTGTCCAAGGCTAGCTATATCAAAATCAGGAGCTAGCTCTTGCACAATATCATTAGGTGGTTGGCCACATTCTTGCATTTTCTGCATGAGCTCAAAAATCTTGTTGAAGTTTCCAGAATCTTTTTCATAGACTTCGTTAAGTTCTTTTATGAGTCCGTACTGGTGAGAATAACGTTCATAATCCTCTTTACTCAAACTTGCTTCATGCTCTTTCAACCAGTTTGGATATCTTTCTCCAATTTCCTTCATCGGTTCATGAAGAATATCCTTGGACAAAAGCTGCTGCATCATGGTCTCAACAATAGATTCCATGTCCTACACAAATAATAGGGGTTTATTCAACCTGTTGGACATATAGATGTTTGGCCAATTCGACAAAGCATCGAGGAGGAACGTAAAAGGTAAAGCACATTAATCAAATACAAAGAACATTTAGTAATTAAAGCATTTCTTTATAAACCAGATCCTAACACTTAAAGGAGATATACAGAGATATAGGAGATTATTATGCTGATTACTATGACACCTTTAGAACCCACGTTAGCTCAAATTTTGCAAAACTCAAAAGCCCAACATTGCATATGTAAGTAAAATAGTCTCAAATACATGGAAAGTACAAAGAAAAAATCGGAGGATCATTGAATCTAGGTCTACTATAGTTTGACTACTTCCAGGGCTATTAAAACAAATAAAATGACTTTTTATAGACAGTTTCAAAAGCATAAGGCATATGCATTTGAGAAATATACTCGTCGGTCGGGTATGGTTTAGACTGTCTTTCGGTAGATAATGAAAACAATACTTGTTTTCACCCAAAAGCTTAAAGTTAGATAATGGTCGTTGAAACCATAACCAAAACTTCTAATTTCTAAAATAATTCTTTCAAGCAATGCAAGAGCCAGTTAGTACCGAAAAATATATTAAATGAAACACTGGAATGAAAGAATTTGTTTATACAGAATCTAATACATAAGAAAACAATATACATACATACATACATACATATATATATATATATACTTTGCCACCAGAGTCTTTGATGCCTACAATGTCAGGTGTCATGAAATCTAGTACCGAAAGGCAACCAAGACCAGTTGACCTTGTTTTGTCTAGTTGTTTAGCCACTTGAACAAGTAAAGCATCATAGAATATTTCAAAGGTTAACACCTCAATAAATTTCTTTTAGCTATTTAAACCACTTCACAGTAGCAACAATGCAGACATGAATTATACTAATTTGTTTCATGGATGCAGCAAAGAATTAAATTTAATAACAGATAAAAATAATTAAGAAATTAGACATCATCTTACGCCCACCATAACTCAAGGCAATACCCATCTTGTGTTGTTTGCATCAATTATCAACCAATCTTCCAAAAGAATAAGCTACCAGATATCAGTAGTGGATTTTGAGATTTTTGTTATTTTGTCCACAGAGTTGGATTGGGCTTAATAGGCACCTAATGTTGGTCACAATATCTTCAACAATTATATTGGCATGACTACCGTTGTTTATAACCAGGATGTGAAATGGACCATCATATTGTAACAATGCTTGAAAAGTGTTATCCTTCATCAATTCCTCTTCATTTTCTCCTACATAGTGATTTGATGATGTTGACGTAAAACCAAATAAGAACAGTTTCTCTTTTAGTTCTTGAGTGGTAAAGGCAGTAGGAGTGTCTTTATAAGCAAAGATCACCAATGTATCCAGACATTGTTCTCAAACAATGTCAGAAGCCTTTACATGTTCAACAATTCACCTCATATTTAGATTTCAAAGTTCGAACTAGAGCTTACACTCCTTAGTGCGTTTTAGTTATAGACCTTAGAAGAAGCAAGCAAATGAGTCATAGAAGAAAAACAACCACCAAAGTTTTTCACAAGTATCAAGTCGATAACATGGTGGTTTGTTCCACGTAACAATCCAATTCTTGTACCAACTGATAATCTAGGTAAAATGGTGGAAGCTCATCCTGAAACAATAGAGGGTTATCAGTCTGTCCTTTGTTAACTTGCATCTGAACATAAATTCCTCAAACTTTTCAGCGTAATCAATGACAGACATATTCCCTTCACGTAGAGACGATCACTAGTCCAAGAAACGTAAAAAGAAGGACAAGGGTCAAAATTTATCTTTCAATATTCTCTCTCCCTGACTCCAATGTACAACTGGTCCTTCATATGATATTTAATTGGCCTTTTAAGGCCAGTCCCAAAGACTTTGGCACCAATTTCACTTTTGGAAAATCTGGCTTCGTGAACCATAGACAATTGCCAATCCAAGTATCAGTCCAGGTCAGATGGCCAAAAACTTAGGCCAAGAACCGTAAAGACTCTATATTCTTTTACTGATAGCCTATCGTAACCAGAAATCCTACAACTACAAAACCAGAAATCACACACAACCATCTGTAAAAAAAATTTGTTAGACCGCACATTACAAAAATTTAAAAGAAACAATTTTCCAGGGAAAAGGAGGTTAACAGATCAAACTGCAAGTATTCACAAATATCATGCATAACCGTGTCAGAAATACAATTTGCAAACCAATAACAGCTCAAACCGCATTCAAACCTAACCAAACAATAAGCAGAAAACCTTGAGAAAAACCCAAACAAAAAAAAAAAAAAAAAAAAAAAGGTCGTACCCAGTGCACAAGGCTCCCGCTTTACGCAGGGTCTGGGAGAGGTGAATGTCGGCTAGCCTTACCCCCAAACAAGAAAGAAAAAAAACAAATGTAATTCATACAAGTGCAAAGCACATTACCTGAGACCCAGCAAGACTCTCGAATTGCTTGACCCAATCCTCCACCATTGCATCGTCCACAATATCATCTCCACCTGGTTTTGCACTTGTCACAGATTCAAGTCCCTTAACAGCTTCTCTGGTCTGCTCTCTGAGCTTATCAAGTGCCTCAGAAACATGCGATTCTCCTGAAACCTTCTGTTTCCCCTTTTTCTTGGCTCTTATTTCAGGTAATCCCATGCCAAGTCCTTGAACCCCAGCAGGCAAGGAAGGCAGTTCTTTCTTGTCCTCCGTAGATTCTTTACTTCTATGACAAGTAAAAGAAAGCTAAATACTCAGTTTGTGGCATAAATTCACACATTTCCAGTACTACAAGTATC